ATACGTAGGGAAGGGCAAGAAAACACACGAATATGCCGAAGGCCTTTTCACCATTGCTTCGTCAGCAATAGTGAAAAGGCCGGCATGTTCGTGTGTTTTCTTGCCCTTCCCTTCGTTGTTCCTGTTGCAATCAGTTCACCATGAATTCCACATAAGTATACGTGTATATGTACACACACACACACACACATACACACACACACACACACACACACACACACACACACATATATATATAATATATATATATATATATATATATATATATATATATATATATATATATATGTATACACACACACACACACACACACACACACATATATATATATATATATATATATATATATATATATATATATTATATATATATATATGTATATATATGTTTGTGTGTGTGTGTGTGTGTGTGTGTGAGTGTGTACACACACACACACACACATATATATATATATATAATATATATATATATATATATATATATATATATATATATATATATATATATATATTGCTTTACCACTTACGCTGTGGAATCATCCACCATCGTAATGGAATTTCCTTGTCGTCCAAATGCCCCTCAACTTGGCCTTTCGCCTTTACAAGTCTAGATAACTTCGACTGTGCGTAAACGCTTAGCTTTGGTGGAATGCTGAAGAAATGCGTACATTTCCTTCGTTCCGGTTCGGGTAAGTGGGTTTGAAATACGGCATGGGAAAACGTTAAAAAAAAAAAAAAAAAAAAAAAAAAAAAAAAAAAATTATATATATATATATATAATATATATATATATATATATATATATATATATATATATATATGTACAAAGAACTATGATGTGAATGATTCCATAAAGATATATATAATTTTTCTTTAAGATCTTAGCATATTTGTGAACACGGTTGCAATTTTAGAGATGAGAGAGTTTCGTCGGTAGCAGGGCAGGGGGGTGGTTAGAGGGGTGGGGGGGGGGCACGTGGAGGGCACCCAGTTTCCAGTCTCTTCTGCATCTGGTAGACTAGGGTTCGAACCTACACGGAAGGGGATTCGAACCTATGCAGACGGTGATTCGAAGCCATGCAGACGGTGATTCGAAGCCATGCATGATTCGAAGCCATGCAGACGTGATTCGAAGCCAGGTGATTCGAAGTGCATTGATTCGAAGCCAAACGGTGATTCGAAGAGACGGTGATTCGAAGTGCAGACGGTGCATGATCGAAGCCATGCGAAGCCACGGTGATTCGAAGTCATGCAGACGGTGATTCGATTCGAAGGTGCACGATTCGAAACAGACATGCAGCACGGTGATTCGAAGCCATGCAGACGGGTGATTCGAAAGTATGACAGACGGTGATTCGAAGTCGCAGACGGTGATTCGAAGCCATGCAGACGGTGATTCGAAGTCATGCAGACGGGATTCGAAGCCATGCAGATGCAGACGTGATTCGAAGCCATGCAAGACGGCGAGAACGACGTGTTCGAAGCCACGCAGACGGTGATTTCGAGCCAGACCACCGCAGACGGTGATTCGAAGCCACGCAGACGGTGATTCGAAGCCATGCAGACGGTATTCGATGGTCGAATTCGAAGCCAGCGCAGAGGTGATTCGAAGCCACGGGTGATTCGAAGCATGCAGACGGTGATTTCGAAGCCGATGATTCGAAGACGGGTGATTCGAAGATGCAGTGATTCGAAGCCATGCAGGGTGATTCGAAGCCACGCAGACGGTGATTCGAACCACGCAGACGGTGCGAAGCCATGCAGACGGTGATTCGAAGTCAATGCATGACGCGTGATTCGAAGCCATGCAGACATTCGAAGCGAAGCCATGCAGACGGTGATTCGCCAATGCAGACGGTGATTCGAAGCCATGCAGACGGTTGATTCGACATGCAGACGGTGATTCGAAAGCCATGCAGACGGTGATGATTCGAAGCCATGCAGACGGTGATTCGAAGCACGCAGACGGTGATTCGTGATTTCGAAGTCACGCAGACGGTGATTCGAAGTCATGCAGACGGTGATTCGAAGCCACGCAGACGGTGATTCGAAGCCATGCAGAGGTGATTTGAAGTCATGCAGACGGTGATTTGAAACCATGCAGACGGTGATTCGAAGTCATGCAGACGGTGATTCGAAGTCATGCAGACGGTGATTCGAAGTCATGCAGACGGTGATTCGAAGCCATGCAGAGGTGATTCGAAGTCATGCAGACGGTGATTTCGAAGCCATGCAGACGGTGATTCCATGACGAAGTCATGCAGACGGTGATTCAAAGCCATGCAGATGTGATTCGAAGTCACGCAGACGGTGATTCGAAGCATGCAGACGTGATTCGAAGCCATGATTCGAAGCCATGCAGAGTGATTCGCGGTGATTCGAAAGCATGCAGACGGTGATTCGAAGTCATGCAGACGGTGATTCGTGAGACGGTGATTCGAAGCCATGCAGACGGTGATTCGAAGCATGCAGACGGTGATTCGAAGTCATGCAGACGGTGATTCGAAGCCATGCAGACGGTGATTCGAAGTCATGCAGACGGTGATTCGAAGCCATGCAGACGGTGATTCGTGCAGACGGTGATTCGCATGCAGATTCGAAGTCATGGCGTCATGCAGTGATATTAAGCCATGCAGATGGTGGTTCGAAGCCATGCAGACGGTGATTCGAATCATGCAGACGCGTGATTTCGACCATGCAGACGGTGATTTGAAAGCATTGCAGATGTGGGTCGAAGCCATGCAGACGGTGATTCAAAGTCATTTGACGGTGATTCGAAACCACGCAGACGAAGCCATGCAGACGTTCGAAGCCATGCAGACGGTGATTCGAATGTCATGAACGACGGTGATTCGAAGCCAGGCAGACGGTGATTCGAAGTCATGCAGACGGTGATTCGAAGTCATGCAGACGGTGATTCGAAGTCATGCAGACGGTGATTAAGCCATGCAGATGGTGGTTCGAAGCCATGCAGACGGTGAATTCAAAGTTCATTTCTGACGGTTGATTCGAAACCACGCAGACGGTGATTTCGAAGCATGGCAGACGGTATTCGAAGCCATGACGGTGATTCGAAGTCATGAAACGGTGATTCGAAGCCATGCAGCACGTGATTTGAAGCCTATGCAGACGATGATTGAAGCCATGCAGAGTGATTCGACAGTCATGAAGACGGTGATTCGAAGCCATGCAGACGGTGATTCGAATTGCAGACGGTGATTCGAAGTCATGCAGACGGTGATTCGAAGCCACGCAGACGGTGATTCGAAGTCATGCAGACGGTGATTCGAAGCCATGCAGACGGTGATTCGAAGCCATGCAGACGGTGGATTTGGCCATGAGACGATGATTCGAAGCCATGCAGACGGTGATTCGAAGTCATGCATGATTGAAGCCATGCAGACGATGATTCGAAGCCATGCAGACGGTGAGAAGTCATGCAGACGGTGATTCGAAGCCACGCAGACGATGATTTGAAGCCATGCAGACGGTGATTCGAAGCCATGCAACGGTGATTTGAAAGCCATGCAGACGGTGATTTGAAGCCATGCAGAATTGAAGCCATGCAGACGGTGATCGAAGCCATGCAGACGGTGATTTGAAGCATGCAGATTTGAAGCCATGCAGACGGTGATTGAGACGGTGGTGCAGACGGTGCGAAGCCATGCAGACGGTGATTCCATGAGACGGTGATTCGAAGCATGCAGACGGTGATTCGAAGCCACGCATGATTCGAAGTCATGCAGACGGTGATTCGAAGCCATGCAGACGAAGCCATGCAGACGGTGATTCGAAGCATGCAGACGGTGATTCGAAGCCATGCTGACGGTGATTCGAAGTCATGCCATTCGATGATTCGAAGCCATGCAGAGTGATCGAGATGTGATTCGAAGTCATGCAGACGGTGATTCGAAGCCACGCAGACGGTGATTCGAAGCCATGCAGACGGTGATTCGAAGCCACGCAGACGGTGATTCGAAGCCATGCAGACGGTGATTTGAAGTCATGCAGACGGTGATTCCATGCAGACGGTCCATGCAACGGTGATTCGAAGTCATGCAGACGGTGATTCGAACCATGCAGACGGTGATTCGAAGCCATGCAGACGGTGATTCGAAGCATGCAGACGGTGATTCGAAGCCATGCAGACGGTGATTCGAAGCCATGCAGACGGTGATTCGAAGCCATGCAGGCGGTGATTCGAAGCCATGCAGACGGTGATTCGAAGTCATGCAGACGGTGATTCGAAGTCATATGACGGTGATTCGAAGCCACGAAGACGGTGATTCGAAGCCATGCAAGCGGTGATTCGAAGTCATGCAGACGGTGATTCAAAGTCATTCTGAATTCGAAACCACGCAGACGGTGATTCGAAGCCATTTGATTCGAAGTCATGCAGACGTGATTCACAGACGGTGATTCGATGATTCAAAGTCTGACGGTGATTCGAAACCACGCAGACGGTGATTCGAAGCATGCCATGCAGACGGTGATTCGAAGCCATGCAGACGGTGATTCAAATCAGACATTCAAAGTCATTCTGACGGTGATTCGAACCACGCAGACGGTGATTCGAAGCCATGCAGACGGTATTTGAAGCCATGTGATTCGAACCATGCAGACGGTGATTAGAAGCCATGTAGACGGTGATTCGAGTCTTTTCGCCCCCCCCCCTCAAAAAAATGATAATAATTACAGGAACAAAAGACCCTTTTTGTCAAGAAAAAAAAAGAAAAAAAAATATATATTACAATTTCTCTTCCATTACTCACACCTATCCATCTCAAATAAAAAACCCTTATTCCTAGACATACGTTGAGCCAGGGGGATTACGTACCTAAAAAAAAAAATAATAAATAAATGAAAATAAAAAAACAAACAAAATGAATATCTAAAAGAATTGAATCAAAACCATTTAAAAACCAAATCAACAACCACTTTACAATAACCACACGCGTTCTAAACCACCCTATCCCTTTCTCCCGCCAAAAAAACAAAAGGTATTGTCAGACATAAGACGGATAGTGGGCCAGGAGGATTACGTGCCTAATGAGAATCGTGACCTGTGTCGACTCCTGGTTCGAACGCTTTGTTTACATGGCGCAGGCGAGTCGACGCGCCATCTTGCTCTGGCAGAGGCCCTAGCGAAGGAAATGGGAAGGTAATTGTGAAGATGAGGATGATAATGAGAGCGAATTCATGTCATTTTCCTCGTCACTGTTGTCTCAAAGTTTTTGTAAATCGATATCGTTCGTTGTAGTTTTCAGTTGAGTGTGATCACAGTAGATTTGGAATATATGAATCCTTCGTGTTTATTTTAGTGTGATTTAATCCTGTGAGATGATTTGATTGGATAAGTAGATAATAATTCTGTATCTTGCGTTGGTTAGCTAATTATTCAATCCAATTTTCTCTGTAAAAAAGCCGGCACACCACCGCTGACTTGAGCGGGTCTGTTCGGGCGATGCAAGCCGCCCTTGAAACTGCAAGCCAAGTCAAGCCGGACGCTGCCTCGCTCCGAGATCTTTTGTCGAGACTCAAGATGTCCTTCGCCTTTCTCTACGCCCAGGTATGCGAGCCGTGATTTTTGGCCAGGTGTGTATCTTGGGGTATGTGGCCCGCAAGTAGTGGCCAGGTATGTATCATGTCCAGGTGTGCCAGGTATGTATCTTTTGTGGCCAGGTATGTGTTGGTGGCCAGGTATGTATCTTGGTTTATGGCCAGGTGTGTATCACCAGGTATGTGTCCCGTGATTTGTGGCCAGGTATGTATCTTGGGATTTGTGGCCAGGTATGTTGGTGGCCAGGTATGTATCTTGGGATTTGTGGCCAGATATGTGTCCCGTGATTTTTGACCAGGTATGTATCTTGTGACTTTTGGATAACTGTAAATGTTGTGATTTGTGGCCAGGTGTGTATCTCGTGATTTTTGGCCAGTTATGTATCTTGTGAGTTGTGGCCAGGTGTGTATCTTGTGATTTATAGGCCAGGTGATTTGTGGTTATTTATGTACCGTATGATTTATGGCTCGGAATGTATCCCGTGCTTTATGGGTCAGGTGTGTATCCCGCGATTTGTAGCCAGGAATGTGTCTCTTAGGATTGGTGGCCATGTATGTATCTTGAGGTTTAGGGCCAATTGTGTATTTTTTATCCATCGCTTGGTATGTATCCCCTGATTTATGGCCAGATATGTATCCAGTGATTTATGATAGTGATGAGGATACATATGAGTAAACTTTCACCTCTATGTGTTTCGTGTATTCCATGTATGTCCGGGTATGTGGCCTGAGATATGTAGAATAGATACATAAACCTATCTATCTATCAGTCGATCGCTATGTTAGTCTGTCTGTCATATCTCTGACTATGTATCTGTTTATCTATCTAATTATATATTCATCCATCTATCTACCTACCTATCTGTTTGTCTATCTATCTATTCTGCCTGGTCATCTGTCTATCTAATTTTATATTCATCTATCTATTTAGTCGTATCCTATCTACCTATCTATCTATCTATCCATCCATCGGTCTATTTATCTATCGATATGTCTATCTACCCATATATATCTATCCATATGTCTATTTATCTGTCTATAGAATAATGCTTTGATGCAGTCATATAGTGTTCTTTATCTATCTATCCATTTATCTATCTAACCATCCATCTGTCTATTTATCTATCAAATATTGCCTTGGCACTTTATCTACCTATCTATCTATCTACGTATGTATCTATCTATCCATTCGCCTGTCTATTTATCTCTCTATAGAATAATGCATTAATACTTTATCTACCTATCTGCCTGCCCATCTATCTGTCTATCTATCTACATATCCATCTATCTATCTATTGGATAATGTATTGACACGTTGGTACAATCAAATTTATCTACATTACTAATTTATACGTTTTAAACGATTTTTTTACTTCGTACTTTTATCAAGATATGTCTGTATGGGGTGGGAGGAGTGATATAGGGGGGGGGTAAGTACCTCCTTAGTTTCTTAATTAGGCTAATGAGGGGGAACGGTGCGTCGCTTGATTAATTCTGCTTAATTAATGGGGTTTAAGGTAAGTGATTCCCGATATTTTCTGATATTCTCTCTCTCTCTTCTCTTCTCTCTTCTATCTCTCTGTCTCTCTGTCTGTCTGCCTGTCTCTGTCTGTCTCTGTCTCTCTGTCTCTGTCTCTCTCTCTGTCTCTCTCTCTCTCTCTCTCTCTCTCTCTCTCTCTCTCTCTCTATATATATATATATATATATATAATTATATATATATATATATATATAGATATAGATAGATAGATAGGTAGATAAATAGATAGATATTTTTTGCATTCTGCAAAGAAATGGCGATTCCAATGCGAGCTTTTCCTTAAGGCCGTATCCGATTTAAAGTTTAGGCGTACGGCACACATGCGTGCGGCACACATATGCGTACGGCACAGATATACGTACGGCACACATAGATTCCATTTTCGGGTAATAAGTACGAATCTAATCGAACCCAAGTCTGCGTAGCATTATCTTGTGCCGAGACGCCGCCATCGGGGGCTCGTCTGCCGTATCAATAGTCACTTCCATGCTTAATCTAGGATATTTTCTAAGTAGATTTCTTTTTGTTCTCCTCACTCTCTGTCTCTCTTATTCTTTTTTCTTCTTTTCCCATTATCGAAAATGGCTTGATTGCTTCCCCTTTCCTCTTTCCCTTTCGTCCCCCTCTCTCTCCTCCTCCTCCTCCCTCCTTCTTCTCTGCCACCTCCTCCCTCTTTCTCCTCCTCCTCTTTTTTTCTCCTCATCCCTCCTCTCTCCTCTCCTCCTCTCTCCTCCTCTCCTTCTCCTCCTCTCTCCTCTCTCCCTTCTCCTCCTCCTCCTCCCTCCTTCCCTCCCTCCCCTACATTCTCCTCCTCCTCATCATCATCCCTATTTCATCCCCCTCCTTCTCCTCCCTTCTCCTCCTCCTTCCTCCCTCCTCCTCCTCCTCCTCTCCTCCCTCCCTTCTTCTCCTCCTCCTCCTCCTCCTCCTCTCCTCCTCCCTCCTCCTCCTCTCCTCCTCTTCCTCCTCTCCTCTCCTCTACTCCCCTCCTCCCCATCCCTTCCCTCCCCCTCCTCTTCCTCCTCCTCCTCCCTCCCTCCCTCCTTCCTTCTTCCGTTCTTCGAGAAGCTTTCTTAATCTCCCTCACTCCCCCCTACCCCACCCCCCCCTTCATCCCCCGATCTCAAGAGGACCGAAAATTCCTCCCTCTACTTCTCGAGAGGACTCCTTAATCTCCCTCCCTCTTCATCCCCTCCCTCACCCCTCTTTCCCCCTTTCCCTAAACCCCATTTTATCGCTCTCTCTCTCTCCTTCCCCTCTTCATTCTCCTGTTGCTACAACCCGTCTATTTTTAATATCGATTTTATTTACCTTTACTATTCTATGTGTCATTTTGCCAGTTCTATATAATCCTATATACCTATCTTCATATTTACGTATCCATTCTTATCTTCCATGTGATATACACATTCCTCTGGGTTATCTTCATTCTCGTCTACGCATTCCTCCCACCCTACATACAGTTCTTCCATTCTCGTCTACGCATTTCCTCTGGGTTATCCCACCCTACATACAGTTATCTCCATTCTTGTGTACGCATTCCTCTGGGTTATCCCACCTTGCATACAATTCTATCTGTCCCCCGTATACAACAACATCCTACATTAGGAATATACAGCAACAACATCCAAATATACATCGAATCTACATCCTGTAATTCCCTTGTTTGCCGACTCCAGTCTGTCAACACAAGGCATATGACAGGAGAAGGCGATCCCGGGAAAGATGTCATTCTATCCTCTCTTTGCATTGTCCGTCCAATGTCGGATTCCGGATTACAGATTGGCCATTTTTAATATATGATAAGCGTGGAGGAAGAGAGGTGGAGGTGGAGGAACGTGTGCTAGGAGGAGGATAGATAGATAGGGGAGATAGATAGATAGATAGGTGGACATACAAATAAATAAATGAATAGATAGATAAATAGGAGGATATATAGATAAATAAATTAACAGATAGACAAAAGAATATATAGATAAATAGATAAATAAATGATAGGTATAAATAGATAAATAGATAGATAGATAGATAAATAGATAGTTAAATAGAAAGATAAATAGATAGATAAATGAACATAGGCTCAACAGGTTCTCGGTTGCAGAGTCAGATGAGGAGTAAGACATCGTTCGAAACGTCATTTTTTAAAATTCAGTGTGTATATATATATATATATATATTTTTTTTTCTCTCTCTCTCTTTCTTTCTTTTCTTTTCTTTTTTTTCTTTTCTTTCTTTTCTTTTTTTCTTTTCTTTCTTTTTTCTTTTTCTTTTTTCTTTTCTTTTCTTTCTTTATCTTTTTCTTTTTTTCTTTTTCTTTATCTTTCTAAGCAGTTTTTTTTCTACTATTTCTTTCATTGGAAGTAATGATCCTCCAGTTATCTCACTCTAAAGCGTTATCATCTATTCTTCCATCCACCGTTTATTCTTGCATTCTTCCATGTATCTCCCATCCTAAACACCTTCTTTTATCAACCAGGCCTCGAAAGAAGAAAAAGAAGAGAAAGGAAAAGAAAAAGGAGACGAAGAAAAAGAAAAAGAGATAGAAGAAGCCAAAGAAGATTCCTCTGACCACCTCCTCGTCTTGACCTCGGCCGACTGTGACCTCTTGGCGAGCGGGAAATGGGTCAAATTCGGTCATTTTTCAGGGGATGTGAACCTGGTTGGGAGATTCCCGGAAGCAGTGGTCAAGGAGGCGGTCGAGAAAGCCGCGCACAGGTGAGGCAGGAGGTGGAAAGGTGGAGGAAGACAGGTGGAGGTGGAGGAAGAGGTGAAGGAGGTGTGAAGGGTAAAGATGGAAGGGGAGGTGGAGGTGGAGGAAGAGAGGTGGAGGTGTGAAGGGTAAAGATGAGGGTGGAGGTGGAGGTGGAGCGGAGGGAGGTGGAGTGGAAGGTGAGGAAGACAGGTGGACTGGTGAAGGAGGTGAAGGTGGAGGTGGAGAAGAAGGTGGAGGTGGAGGAAAAGGTGGAGGTGTGAGGAAGGGGGGAGGTGGAGGAAGGTGGAGGGAAAGAGGTGGAGGTGGAGGAAGACAGGTGGAGGTGGAGGAAAGGTGGAGGTGGAGGAAGACAGGTGAGTGGAGGAGAAAAGGTGGAGGTGGAGGTGGAGGAAGACAGGTGGAGGTGGAGGTGTAGGAAAGGTGGAGGTGGAAGTGGCACGGTGGAGGTGGAGGAAATCAGGTGGAGGTGGAGAAAAGGTGGAGGTGGAGGAAGAGAGGTGAAGGAGGTGTGAAAGGGGAAGATGGAAAGATGGAGGTGGAGATGGAGGAAGAGAGGTGGAGTGGAGGAGGTGTGAAAGGTGAAACTGGAAAGGTGGAGGTGGGATGGAGGGGGAGGATGAAAGGTGGTGGAAAGATGGAGGTGGAGGAGGGGAAAGGTGGAGGTGGAGGAGGAGGAGAAAAGGTGGAGGTGGAGGTGGAAAGGGAGGAGGAAGATGAAAGGGAGGTGGAGGTGGAAAGTGGAGGAGGTGGAAGGTGGAGGAGGAGGAGGTGGAGTAAGGTGGATGAAAGGTGGAAGGAGGTGGTGGAAGGTGGAGGAGGTGAAAGGTGGAGGGAATGTGGAAAGTGAATGTGGAAGAGGTGGAAAGGTGAATGTGGAAGAGGTGGAAAGGTGAATGTGGAGGAGGTGGAAAGATAACGATAAGATAACGATAATGCAAATGATCGTAGCAACGAGTGCATTTGCCTCAGCTGATCAACGGAGTCTCAATTCAACGGCCAACCTGAAGCTCTCAGCTGTAACCTCTGATCCAAAGCTCACATTTGAGTTGCTTATTAGGAATATAATAGTTTCTTATTAATATATAATATATAATAGTTTCTAATATATAATATATAATAGTTTTTGATATATAATATAATAGTTTCTAATATATGATATATAATAGTTTCTAATGTATAATATATAATATATAATATATAATAATATATAATATATGATAATATATAATATATAATAGTTATAATAATATAATAGTTTCGAGCAGTTTCTTCTTATTTCGGCATCATTCGGAATTTTAGACCAGCGTTGTCCAAACTGGGGTACGCAACGTAGATCTTAAGGGTACGTGAACAAATAAGGAACACGTACACACTCACACACACACACACACACACACACACCACACACACACACACACACACACACACACACACACACACACACACACACACACACACACACGCACGCACACGCACACGCACACACGCACGCACGCACGCACGCACGCGCACACACACACACACACACACACACACACACACACACACACACACACATACACACATACACACATACACACACACACACACACACACACACGCACACAAAAAGAAACGTCACGTGTTCTATGAATCATCTTTTTTATTCGTGTATTAAATTGGAATTTATTGACCAACACTCATATTTATTATATTATTTGCATTATCCTATATAAAACACTGTGCTAGATGTATTTTTTTTTCTTTTGTTCTGCCTCATTTTGAGTATTGTTCTCCTGTGTGCTTATCTACTGCAGAATCACATTTAAGACTGCTTGATCGTTCTTTTTAATTCCATTAAATTTCTCCTGTCTGACTTAAATTTGGACATTGGACATCGTAGGGTTATTGGGGCTCTTTCAGTCTCATTTAAGATTGTAAGCGATAATTTCACCAGATTTTTATCAACCTACAAGAGTTTGAAGTCTATATCCCTCAATTCGATGGCATTTGATGTAAGTCGATCGTCTACAAGTCAGTTTTGTAGATGCTTTTTTACTACTATTTTGTAGACTTTGGAAGAGATTACCTTCAGAGATTATAACTTTTCCGACTCTTGATAAGTTTAAAAGATTAGCTATGTTTTTCTTACGTAATTAGCTGACTTTCCATCTTCTCATACTTTCTTAGCTGTATCTTGACCTGCACTGACACCTTTGGTGTTATAAATCTCGATTTTTTCAGTGTGGCTCTTTATATAGCTTACAATAATGATAATGGTAACAATTATAATAGGAATGATAATAATAATGATGATGATAATAGCAATAATAACGATAACAGAACTATTACTACTTGATGAAGATGATAATAACAATAATGATGATGATAATGATAAAGACAGTGTTAATGATAACGATGCTAATGATGATGATGATGACAATATGATAATGATAATAATAATAAATAATAATAATAATAAAATAATGATAATAACAATAACAATGATAATATTGATAAATAATAATGATAATATTGATAATAATAATAATAATAATAATGATGATGATTCACCCTCTTTAATCCCCTCTTCTTGTTATTCTTTTTTTTTCCCACAGCCTCGCTCTACCTTCTCTCGCTGATATTCTCCGCGAACACGAAAAGAAGACGAAGAAGGAGAACCACGAAGAAAAGGAAGAAGAAGAAGGAAGATTAGGAAAAGGAAAAACACGAGAAGAAACAGAAGCAAACGAAGAAGGAAAAGGAGAAAGAAACGCAGGAGAAACAAAGGAAGAAGAAGGAACAGAAGGAGAAAAAGGAGTGCCAAAGAGTGCCATGAATATGGAGGAGGTGGCACTGTGCCGACACCTTCAGTACGGGGAAGGTTGTGGCCCTTACTCCATGTTTGGCAAACTCTGCTGGCTGTGGGGCGAGGGGCGTGGCGTGCAGGAGGTGAGGTTGGGAGGAGGAGGTGGAGGTGGTGGGGAGGAGGGAGGAGGTGGAGGTGTGGTGGGTGGATGGATGATAGAGGGGGAGGAGGTGGAGGAGGAGGAGGAGGGTGGAGGAGGAGGAGGATGGTGGAGGGGGAGGGAGAAGGATGTGGAGGTGGATGGAAGATGGTGGAGGTGAGGTTAGGTGGAGGAGGAGGAGGAGGTGGTGGTGGTGGTGATGTTGAGTGGAGGTGGAGGAGTTGGGGGGAGGATGGTGGAGGAGGAGGAGGTGAGTTTTGGGGGGAGCGTGGTGGAGGAGGAGGGAGGAGGGAGGAGATGGAGGTGGGAGGTGGAGGTGGAGGGAGGGAGGAGGAAGGTGTGGTTGGGTGGAGGGGATGGAGGATGAGGGGGAGGAAGGTGGAGGAGGAGGTGGAGAGGAGGAGGAGGGTGGTGGAGAGAGGAGGAGTTGGTGGAGGGGAGGAGGAGGATGTGGAGGTGGATGGAAGATGGTGGAGGTGAGGTTAGGTGGGATGAGGAGGAGGAGGTGGTGGTGGTGGTGATGTTGGGTGAGAGGTGGAGGAAAGGTTGGGGGAGGGATGGTGGAGGAGGAGGAGGTGAGGTTGGGTGAGGATGTGGAGGAGGAGGAGGAGGTGGATGGTGGAGGAGGTGGAGGTGAGGTTAGGAGGTGGAGGTGGGAGGAGAAGCAGGAGGAGGAGAAGAAGAGGGAAGAGAAGAAGAAGAAGAAGAAGAAGAATAGGAGGAGGAGGAAGAGTAGGGGAAAGAGTGAGGAGGAGGTTGGTGGTGGGGAGGGGGTGGAGTGTCAGGAGGACAGGTGAAAGGTATGGGGGGGCAGTGTCGATAAAGAACACTGATAAACAACGACAGAACACTTTTAAATGATAATAATAATCATACTCCTACTACTACTAATGATGATAATGATGATACTAATAATAATAATAATGATCACAATAATAGACACACATTCTCTATCCCCCAGATCGCGCGCAAAGTCAAGACCTACTTCCGCAACTACAGCAACTTGCAACACAAGATCTGCAATGCAACTCAAACCTACTATGTACCGGGCACAGGACCTCTCCAGGATGTCAGACCCATCGTCTCCTCAGCGAAATGGACTTGGCAATTCAACGAAATCGATCTCGCGGTGGGTAAGAAGGGAGGGAGAGGGAAGGAGGGAGAAAGGAAGGGACAGGGAGGGAGGAGAGGGAGGGATAGAGGGAAGGGAGGGAGAGGGAGGGAGAGGGTGGGAGGGAAGAGGGATGGAGGGAGAAAGGAAGGAGCGGAAGAAAGGGAGGGGGAGGGAGAGGGTGGGTGGAGGGAGAGAAGGAGGGAAGGATAGAGGGAAGAGAGGGAGAGGGTGGGTGAGAGGGTGGGAGGGAAGAGTATGGAGGGAGAAAGGAAGGGAGAGGGAGGGAGGGAGGGAGAGGGTGGGTGAGAGGAGGGAAGGAGAGGGAGGGAGAGGGTGAGAGGGAAGAGGAGGGAGGGAGAAAGGAAGGAAGAGGGATGGAGAGGAAAAGAGAGGGAGAGGGAGGGAGAGGGAGGGAAGGATAGAGGGAAAAGAGGGAGGGAGGGAGAAAGGTAAGGAGTAGGAGGAAGGGAGAGAGATGGTGGGAAGGAGGGAAGGAGAGGATAGGGAGGATGGAGGAAGAAAGGAAGCGAGAGAGAGGGAGGGAGAGTGTGGATGGGAGGGAGGGAGGGATAGAGGGAAGAGAGGGAGGAAGGGAGGTAGATGGTGGGAAGGATGGAGAGGAAAGGAAGTGATAGGGAGGGAGAAAAGAATGAAGAGGGAGGGAGAGGGTGGGTGGGAGGGAGGGATAGAGGGAAGAGTGGGGAGGAAGAGAAAGGAAGGAAGAGGGGAGGGAGGGGGAATAGATGGGGAGAGGGAAGAAAGGGAGGGAGGAAGGGAGGGAGAGAGCGGGAAGGAGGGAAAGAGAGAGAGAGATTGGAAGGGAGGGAGGAAAGGAAGGAGAGAAAGGGAGAGAGGGAGAGAAGGAGAGAAGGAGAAAGAGAAAGAGGGAGAATGAGAGAGGTAGGGAAGGAGGAAAAGAGGGGGATGTAAGGAAAGGATGGATGGAGAGGGAGTGGGAAGAAAGGAGAGAAATAGGGAGAGAGGGAGGAGAGAAAGAAGGAGGGTTGAGGGGAGAAGTGAAAGGGAAGGAAGACGGAGGAGGAAACGCGGAAAAAATAATAAAAAAGGGAGGAGGAAGGAAGGGAGAGGAATAGGAGAGGAGGGAAGGAAGCGAAGGAGAAGAGAGAGAGCAAGAGAGAAGGAAAAAAGTGTTTATTCCCATTTTGTCATTCTTTGGTTAAAAAAAAATATGGTTGTCGCCAAGATTAGGCTTACTGACAGACAGACAATCGGAGACTGATTAAACACTCGTGCACACATCCAATTAAGCCTTAATCAAACCTTAATTAAACATTAATTAGGCATTCAGTGGCAGCAGGGAACTGAAAGTGGATTTGCGAAACAAAGATATCATTTGTATTCCCATGTTATTTATCTAAAAAAAAAAAAGAAAAAAAGTATTCAAATTTGGGGAATTTGTAGCATAGGAATACAGTAAACCATTAGCGTAGTTTTAAACAGAGGAGGGGGAGGGGTAGGGGAATGGGGGAGGGGGAGAGTCAAATAGGGTACTTTGACCCCACACACACACAACACACACACACACACACACACACACAGCACACACAGACACACAACACACACACACACACACACAACACACACACCACAACACACACACAACAACGACCACACACAACACACACAACACACACACACACATACACACACACAATGACACCAACACCAAAAGGAAACAGTCGAAGTGCCTAGTCAAAGGGAGAGTTAGTGTAAAGCTTTGACAGTATTTGAAGTTAGATTAAAGTAGCGTGGATGTAGATTTTTAGGGGAAAAAAAAAAAAAATATTTTTTGGAAAAAAAAAAATTAATTTTTTTTTAAAGGATTANATTGATATGATTATTCATTATTACTGTGTTATATATAGTAGTAAAGTAGTAGTCAATCATTGTTATTATCATCAATAATTACCATGCCAATCAATCATAACTTATTACTTATTATTATTTTCATTATAATCTATGACATTATCAATTTTTATAATCATGATTCATTATCATTATCACGCTTATCATCAGCAAGGCAAATATCCATTTTTCCTCAAATAACTTCGCCCCAGTCTGTTCCCTTAGGTCTACATTTCTCCATGCGGAACAAGGCTTGA